ATTCCCATTCCCATTCCCGTGGGATCCCCACCCGTGTGGATGCCGATGCCCATTCCCATTCCCATTCCCGTTCCCGTTCCCGTGGGATCCCCACCCGTGTGGATGCCGATGCGCAGCTCCAGCTGCTGCTGCGGCCGGTGGCGGATGCGGAAGGAGCGCACGGCGTCCAGCAGGGCCAGCGCCATCCGGGCCACCTCGGGCGCGTGCAGCTTCCCGTTGCGCACCGGCAGCCCCGACACCACCATGTAGGCGTCCCCGATGGTCTCCACCTGCGGGAAGAGCGGAATTCCCGCCGGGAATGGGCGGCTCCCGGCCCCGGGAGCAGGGGATGGGGAACACCTCGGGCTCCGGGGTCCTGGGGGGCTTTTCCTACCTCAGCCACCCCAGGATTCCGGGCTCTGGGGGTTCTGCGGTGCAGGGGATTTGGGATTCTGTAACCCCGGGATTTTGGGGTGGTGGGATTGTGGGATATCAAAATCCCAGGGAGCTGGAACTGGAATTTTGGGATTGTGGGATATCAACATCCCAGGGAGACGGAACCGGGATTTTGGGATTTTGGGATATCAACATCCCAGGGAGCTGGAACTGGAATTTTGGGATTCTGGGATATCAACATCCCAGGGAGCTGGAATCAGGATTTTGGGATTGTGGGATATCCAAATCCCAGGGAGCTGGAACCGGGATTTTGGGATTGTGGGATATCCAAATCCCAGGGAGCTGGAATCGGAATTTTGGGATTCTGGGACTCCCTGCTCCTGGCGTTTCCCGACCCTGGAATTCCGTGACTCCTGCGGCGACATCTCCATCCCCCGTCCCCTGGCGTCCCCTCGCGCTCACCTTGTAGACGTCGAAGTTGTCGATGATGGCGTCGAAGCAGGTGTAGAGGTCGTTGAGCAGCGTCACCACCTGCATGGGCGTGCTCTGCGCCGACAGCGCCGTGAAGCCCACGATGTCGCTGAAGTAGATGGTGACGCTGTCGAACGCCTCCGCCTGCACCGTCTCCCCCCGCTTGAGCTGCTCCGCCACCGAGCTGGGGACGGGAGCGGGGGGTCAGGGCGGGCACGGCCCCCCCGGGCGCCCCCCGGGACCCCCCCGGAGCTCACTGGGGCAGGATCTGGTAGAGCAGAGCCTCGGCCTTGCGCTTCTCCTCCAGGTACGCCTGCGTGCGCTCCTCCACCAGCTCCTCCAGGTTGTTGGCGTATTGCTCCATGCGCGACAGGAGATTGTCCAGGATGTTGGTGCTGCTCTCCCTGCGGGAACGGGGTCACCTCCTGCACGGGGACCCTTTCTGGGGGTCACCTCCCACCTAGGGACCCTTTCTGGGGTCACCTCCCACCTGGGGACCCTCTCTGGGGTCACCTCCTGCACGGGGACCCTTTCTGGGGGTCACCTCCCACCTGGGGACCCTTTCTGGGGGTCACTTCCCACCTGGGGACCCTCTCTGGGGTCACCTCCCACCCAAGGACCTTCTCTGGGGTCACCTCCCACCTGGGGACCCTCTCTGGATGTCACCCCTCATCCACAGACCCTTCCTTGGGGTCACCACCCACTCAGGGACCCTCCCTGGAGACCTCCCCTCACCCAGGGACCCTTTTTGGGGTCACCTCCCACCTGGGGACCCTCTCTGGGGTCACCTCTCTCCTGGGGACCCTCCCTGGAGGCCACCCCTGACCCAGGGACCCTCCCTGGGGGTGGCCCCTGGCCCGCGGGTCGGGCTCCGTGGTGGCACCTGTTGAACTTGCGGAGCTGGACCTTGATCTGGTTGAAGTCGGGGCGCTCCAGGACGTCCTCGGCCCAGCAGTGCTGCATCAGCTGCCCCAGCTCCTCCAGGTGACAGCCCACGTTGGCCGAGGGCCGGAAGCTGGGCCGCTCCCCGCTCTTCACCCGCTCGATGATCTCTGCGGGGACGGGGACCCCTCAGGGAGGGCAGCGCCCACGGGGACCCATCAGGGGGTCCAGGAACCCATCAGGGGGTCCAGGAACCCATTGGCCAGTCCAGGAACCCATTAATGGGTCCAACCATCAGTTGAGGAGTCCAGGAACCCATCAGAGGGTCCAGGAACCCATAAACAGGTCCAGAAACCCATAAACAGGTCCAGGAACCCATCAGAAGGTCCAGAAACCCATCAGAAGGTCCAGAAACCCATCAGCAGGTCCAGGAACCCATCAGGGGTTCCAGGAACCCATCAGGAGGTCAAGGAACCCATCAGAGGGTCCAGGAACCCATCAGAGGGTCCAGGAACCCATCAGCAGGTCCAGGAACCCATCAGAGGGTCCAGGAACCCATCAGAAGGTCCAGGAACCCATCAGAGGGTCCATAAACCCATCAGAGGGTCCAGGAACCCATCAGAGGGTCCAGGAACCCATCAGAGGGTCCAGGATCCCATCAGTGGGTCCAGGATCCCATCAGAGGGTCCAGGAACCCATCAGAGGGTCCAGGAACCCACCAGCAGATCCAACCAGCCACCAACACGCCCAAGAACCCACCGATGGTTCCAGCCACCCCTGCAGCCCCCAGCAGCCGCTGCAGCCCGGTCCCACCGCTCCCCGCTGACCTTTGGGGCTGAGCTCCATCCCCTCCACGTAGAAGACGCCGCTGCGCAGGGCGATCTCCTGCAGGATGATGCCGAAGCTGTAGACATCGCCCTTCTGCGTCCCCCGCGCCGGCGGCTCCTCCATGCGCAGCAGCTCCGGCGCCGTCCACAGCCGCTCTGGGGGCGGGGCCAGACTCGGACACGCCCACCAGGACACGCCCGCTCCGTCCCGAGACACGCCCACCCCAAAAGACCGATCCCATCCCAAGGCAGGACTCAATGGGGAAGCTGCATGAGGGTGTGGCCACGCCCCCCAGCATGGGAAGGACACGCCCACATCAGGTGAGGGGGGGTGTCACTACCAGGCCATGCCCCCTTCCTTTCCCCAGGGGCGGTGGCACCGCAGAATGCACAGGCCACGCCCACATGAGGCCACGCCCTCTCCAAGGAGATCCC